TACATACATCTGTTTATTCTCTAGAATAGATCTATTTATAATTGTAAACCTTTGTTTCGGTTGAGGAGTTGAAGTGATTCGCACCGTAATTCGTACAGTAAAGTAGCGGCAGGGTTGGACGAAGAGAAGCATTGAGCGATTAAATGTATCATTTATAAAACACCTGTGACAGTAAATATAACTAGAAACTGAACTGATTGAAACGTTCTTGACACATATCCACACGCTAGCACACACTTCCTCACTAAAACATGCACACACGCACACACAGATACATATACAAACACACACATCCACACACAAAGACATATTCTCTTAAGAAAACACGCACGCACACACAGATACATAGAAAAACATCCACACACAAACACACACTCCTTCACGAAAACATGCTCACACAGATACATACAAAAGCACACACATCCACATACAAACGCACAGTCCTTGAAGAAAGCAAGCACACATGCACGTACAGATAAGCTACTGCACATACAAACACACCAGTAGTATATACACAAACACACACATACACACATCGCAGTTGATCACACGCCCCATTTAACACCAGTTAGTCCAAACCTTAATCCAAAGCTAACAACAGATAACCAGCACCATTCCTTAACGCCAGCCCGTTAACACCCGCCCGAACGATTTCAATTTCCGCCGCCTAATTTAATAGGATAACTTCAAGCCCGATAAAAAATGTTACATCACCATGGCAACCATTGAAAACGGAGGCAGCGCTACCAAATCAGAAAGTAATAGCATTACTAAACTCCTTTCTTTCTTTTACCGGAGTTTAAACGTTCCTAGCGCATGTAGAAAATTATAGGCGATACTGCGGCTTAGATGGGACTTTTTTTTTTCATTTAATTTTAATATTAAAATATTTAAAAAAAAAAAGACATTTTCTCAGCTTAATTCCCTTGGTTGTATTCAATGCTAGCATTCAATTTAAAAAGGAATAAAGGGAGATAATCGGAAAGACCAGAAGTTGGGTATTTTTTTTACAGGATCGATAACAACATGTTTAGCCTATACCGCCGCACGTTAGGTGGACATAGCCCGGGGGTCTGGCTAGTAAAATATTTGTAAGGGGGGTGGGGGAGAAGGGGGTAAAGAGGACACAAAACACAAACCCTTTCTTCAGTCTAACCTAAACTTGTTTTTTTCTCTCCCCCTTCCCCCTCCGTCCACTCTCTCGTACACACACGTCTCCTAATTAGTTCCCCAGTTAATGACGACGACTCCCAGATCAGCACTCCCTGCGCCTGTTTGCTGGCAACAACCTCACCCCCTGCGCGACGCTGCTGTGGAAACGAAACCCGGGGCCATGCTGTTTTCCCCCCTCGCTTGCCTCTTGTTTTTCGCTCGTGCTTCGAATGTCAATAGATGGATTTTCCCGATTGCGTGATTTAGTTAGCGGAAGTGACGAACTCGTGCGGCGGCCATTATACCGGAAATCGCGCTTTTGTCCCTAAGCCAATGCGTTTCGAACAGTTTTCAGTGTAAAGGGTGGGATTATTGAAAACAAAAAAATGGTATCGATTTTTTTAAAAATTCAGTACATTCTGTGTAAATTTTTTTAACCAATAACAAACAATACCACATCGTTTGATCATGGGGAGAAAAATCGATTTTTAAAAACAACGTTTTCATTAAATTTAGAGGGAAAAAAATGTTTATTGTCTGTTTTGTTTCTTATGAAAACAACTTCAAGACAATACTGTTTTGTAATGGTGTTGGGTGCGGGTTTAGCTGCTAGTAGAATCAGGATTGGGATTTAGGTAATTCATAGTCAGGGTTGGGTTTACATTATGAAGTTGGGGTCAAAGTTTGGTTTTTAGATACCCAGGATTCGAGCCAGTAATAAGTCTGGGGTTAGAGATAGTCCGGGATTATGGTTGGGGTAGAAAAACCCGCTTTAGTATTTGTTCACTTGCATGTTTAGATACTGGGCTACGGCTAGGGTTGATTTCTATTAATAGATTCTGTTGGATACAAGAAAGAATGACCTGGGGTGCTGCGGCTGAAAAAGCAGCACCCATACCCCCACCCCCTACCCTAGCCCATACCCCACCCCCTAACTCTACCCACTTCCACCACACATACCCCCACCCACTAGCCTAACCCCCACCCCTACCCTACCCTAACCCATACCCCACCCCCTACCCTAACCCCCACCCCGTACCCTTACCCTCACCACCTAACCCTACCCCCCTCCGCCACACATACCCCCACCCCCTACCATAACCCATCCCCCACCCCCTACCCTAACCCCCACCCCCTACCCTAACCCATACCCCACCCCCTACCCTAACCCCCACCTCTACCCTAACCCCCACCCCCACCCCCACCCCCTACCCTAACCCCCACCCCCTACCCTAACCCCCACCCCCTACCCTAACCCCCACCCCCTACCCTAACCCCCACCCCCTACCCCAACCCTCTACCCCCTGACTGTTTATTCACTTGGCCATGAAGCCCGACAAGGAAACACTTTTGTAAAACTTGTATCAGACCCCCGTGTTGACAGAAGACCTTGACTCTGATTGCCAACCGTCCCGGAAACACGGGAATCACGTGATGGGTCCCGCCCACGGTAACTGCCCGGATTGTGTGAATCTGGTGAATATTTCACGCGCGTGTGTTTGTCTGTTCGTGGATCGCCTCTTAATAATTGAGTTCTTGTAATGAATACTTGCCGTGAATTCCCGTCGAAATGCTTCCATTCTCTAAGTTGTGCATAGTTGCAATAAATCTCTTTCAACTAAAGTATAAGCATATATATATTTAAATATAATATCATTATGAAGTTGTATGTTTAAAACCTATTCGTGGTCTGGTAATTCATATGAGAATAATGTTATAGAATCTGATATTTGTATTTATTCATAACAACATAAATATCGCCTGAAATTAAAATGAAATCTAAACGTCTTTAAGGGGCCTGTACTCATGAAGGTTTTGTCCCCAAATATACATACACCCATATAAACTTACTTTATACATATACATCTCGAGTGTGTCAAAATGCCCAGCGGTCAAGACCTCAGTCCACTTGACCAAATAAACTCTACACCCACGTGTTTACCCACACCGTGTGGCTGTGTGGCTAGGCTGGGGGTGGTCTCTTATACACTGACCGCTAATGTGATCTACCACATGACCTTTTAGCTCTACTTAAGTGGGTATACAAACAAATACAGGTTTTATAACGTGGGTCAAGTGTATTCAGGCTATAATGGTGGTCATTCCGCTGGCCATTAGTGGTAAATTAAAAAAAAAACGAACTGTCTGTTGATACCAAAAAAATGCGCTCTAAAAATAACACTAAGTGACGTCACTTTGTACATATGGTCTTTGTATATATGGTCAATTATATTTTAAAATAGTTGTGAAACACTACACAGCTCTTCTGTGTAAAAATCCCCATTTTAATTAAAAATCTGTATTAATTAATTATCTTTCTATTTTATTTTATATTATTTTATTGAGAATCTGTCACAAATAATAAAATGTCTAAAATATTTACTGCTAAGCTTACATTTGAAGCAATTACAAGAAGAAGAATAAACTGATAAGGTTAATGTGACCTAACCAAAGAAATAAGCAATACAGTGGCGGCGGACTAACAACAATATACTACATAGTTCCCAATGTAACCCCCCCCCCCCCCATCTCACCCACTTTCCCCGTCTTCTCTATTCATCTCAGTACCGAAAAGTTATCTAGAACAAGTCAACGCGACAAATGCAAAGCAATCCCCCAATGTCTAAAATAAATTCAATACGCGCTGTAAACAAATAACCACGAATTGCGCAAACGGAAGTGCAAAATAATCGAATATCTCATCTGCGCCGGGCGATACTCGAGCAGTTGCGATACACCAGTCCCAGTTGCCCCCCAGACAACACAACGAGTTGGCCGTTATTGGATATGTGTTCATTGATTGCCTGGTTAGACCCGGTGCGGGAGTTCATATCTGTGTGGGTGTGTGTGTGTGTGTGTGTGTGTCTGTGTGAGGTTAATCCATGTAACGTTACCAGTCTGTGCGTGTGTGTGTGTGTGGAGGGGTGGGTGTTTGCGTAGGGCATATATATGTATATATATATATATATATATATATATATATATATATATATATATATATATATATATATATATATATATATATATATATATATATATATATATGAGTGTGTGTCTTAGTGCGTTTTTATGAGTGTAGTTGTGAGTGCATGTGTCTGTACGTGAGCGTGAATATGAGAGTGTGTCTATATGAATGAGTGATTTTAAGTGTGTCTACGCGTGTGACTTTGTGTTTTTGTGTGTACATGTGTGTGTGTATGTGCACGTATGTATCAGTGTATGCGTGTGAAGGAAAGTGTATTTGTGTGTGAATGTGTATGTCTGTGTATGTCTGTGTGAGCCAACAGCTACGCCAGCATCACTCACCAATAAAACACATCGCACGGGCACGTCAATTTCGAGCAATTTTCCTTTCACCCCCCCCCCTCCCCCAACTTAATTACCGACTAAGCTATAATTAGCGCCAGTGAAGGTCTTGATGTGTGTGTGTGTGTGTGTTTGTGTATGTGTTTCTGTTTTTGTCTGTAAGTTCTGCCGCGTTAATTGAGAAGAAATTGATACGCCTCAATATGGAAATCCCAATTTATTTATAGTCTAAGTCCTTCCTTCAACTTCCGTTTTTTAAAATAACAGGTGCATTTCTGAGCTATTGCCGCAATACAAATAAGTTATCAACTTGGAAAATCACAAACTACATATACAATGTCTGTGATTATGCTGAGTTGTGATTTAAAGTCCTCCCCAACCCGGATTTCATTTTTTATTGTGTGAAATATTTTTTTCCTAGTCGATAACCTATTTGTATTACGGCAATATTATAAAAGTCCAACAATATATTTAAAAAAATAATTGTAATAAATCATAATTAAATTAAATAATTAACTAATTATTTTTCTCTTGTCATCCAGGTTGCAGCAGCAGCACCAGTCGCACAAGATGACGTCACGCGAGGACACGGTGTCGCCCTCCAGCAGCAACACCGACCGCCGAGACCACGACAACGACCTTGAGGACGACGACTGCATCAGCGACCTCGACAGCGAGATCAGCGACCCCTCCCACCTGGAGGACATCGACCCCGTCTCCGAGTCCCGGAGCTCGTCCCCCCAGCCCAACCCCCTGATCACCAACAACCCTTTCCTCCCCCCGCACCTCCAGCAACCCATCCGGAGCTCCTCGTACGACATCGTCAGGCCGCCCCCACCCCCGCAGCTGATCCTGTCCTCCACCTCGTCCAACTCGGCCCGGGAGTCGTCACCCCACCAAACCGAGCTCCGCCAGACGTCGACGCCCACCCCTCCAATCCCGCGCCCGCTCTTCAAGCCCCACGAACTCGCCACCTCACCCGACCGCACCCTGGTCCGGCCCGAGTTAACCCGCCAGGAGCATTCACCCCACGGGGACCGCAGCCCAGGCGCGGAGTTCATCAAGCGGGAGCTCCCCCACCCGGCGTTCCCACCCCACCACGACATGCTAACCCACTTCGCGGCTGCCAGGGCCGAGTTCCTCCACCGTGAGGCGGTGGCCAGGGATTTCAACGCCAGGGAGCGGGGCATCCCCATAGATTTTCACCAGCGTGATCTTAGAGTCGACTTCTCCAAAGCCCAAGACTTTGTCAGGCAGGACTATGGCAAGCCGCTTGAGCCGTTTTCACCGGAAGCTCTCAGCAATTTCGCACGGCAAAATGGTGTGTTGGGTTCGGCTTCTTGAAGAAAAAAAATGTAAAAAACACCAAAACATTTTCCTACAGACTTGAACTAAGACTTTTAATGTGACCGTACTTGAGACATTAAATGAGACTTTATGTGCAGAATGGAAAAAAAAATCATGTCAGGTTTTTTTTTAACGGCATACCTCCTCGGCTGGAATTCTGATGCCTGCATTCAACCGTCAAGTCAGTTTTTGGAGCAAACTCGGTGACCCCAGAGGAACGGGCTGACGGCAACATAGCCCCCCCCCCCCCCCCTCTCACACACACCAACATGGCGGAACTGATTAGTCCCCGGCGAATCAAACTCCCAAAGTGTTGATGCGCATCATGTGATGCGCAAATATCGCTGTGCCGTCGAGCTGACTTCCTCCGACTGTTTCAAACATTCACACACGATCGTCAAGTTATAGAAACAGATTCAGCGCAAAAACTTTGTCAGCGGTGTTTCACGAATGGTTTCAGTGTCGCCGATTATTCAGACATATCTTCTTGTTTTTTTTATTCTTTTAATCGTTTTCTATTCGATGATCTATATTTGTATTTTTAGTATCATTAAAACCACTTCACGCGTGTGTTTTTGACGTGCATGATACTCACCTACAACATTATCCTTCTCTTTATCAAACAAAAAAGGAAAGAGTTGGGATGAGCTAGTTTCATCAAATTGGAGAAAGTGACATTAGAAACGACTTAAAAAAACAAAAACAACCATAATTCGTTGATGCACAGTTTCTTAAATAATAAATAAACCGGGAGTGATCTCCCCTAAACTTTCTCGAATATTCTTATATAAAATAACAGGGGATGGGAACTCGGGCTATAGACATGATTTTAAATCCATTTTAAATACTTTAAGTTTTAAAAATAGAATAAAATCTCGTAGACAAATTAATTGCACACCAAGTGAACGCCAAATAAAAAAGCGCATAATGGTGCGCAATATTATTAGTACTTTTAAAATTTACATTAGTTTTTTGAGAAATCGGAAGTAGCGTAAATTACTACTTCCAATCAACGGAAATTACTCAAAATTTAACAGAAGATAGAGAATTAGATCTTTTACTTACATGTGAAATTTCATTTATCTATCTGAAATAGTACTCAAGTTATAGGCTTTTGAAAAATTCAAAGTAGGAAATGTACCACTTCCGGTTATCGGAAATCGCTCAAAAGTTGATACGGATCCTCGATTTCGATAAAATACTTATATATGAAATTTCATCAACGTAGCTGTAACGGTACTCAAGTTATCGTGTTTACACACGGACAGACAGACACACAGACACACAGACACACAGACAGACACACAGACATACGGACAAGATTGCAAAATTATGTTTTTCCGTATCAGTGAGGTGTAAAACGTCGAGATTTGTAAAAATCTCGATTTTTTTTTTTTGCACGATTACAAGACTTTCTCTATACTACGTATATACGAGAAAGTAAAAACAAACAAAAAACTTATAATTAATTGAGTTTTTTTTTAATTGAATTTTTTTTTGTAAAAAATAAATTAAACCGATTCTTTGTTACTTGAAGCCTTCTGTCTAATTAGATAATGGTAGGCTAGACATTATATAAATCAGAATGAAATTGGGCTACAAAATGTTGTGCATTTCACTTCACTGTTAGAAAGTAGGTTCACTCCTAAGGTCACAGTTTCATTTCTACTTTTTTATGGGCATAAACTTCATGAAAATTTAGGACATAAAATATCGATTACTTGGTATCGCGTACAAGAGTTCCCGTTGTGTACATTGTATATACAAATGACATAAAGTATCGTGACGCATTTATTTATTCCTCGTGATAGTATCGAAACGTTTGATTTGTACATGCTTGTAAATACGATTACTTTTACCCGCCCCCTTTTTCTCCACGATTATTCAGGACCTGATTAAGCCTATCATAATCATGATTATACTTTCCTTTCCTGTTGATGTTCCTCTGATTTTGCTGGCTTTCGTTAGAATAGTTTTGATTTTTAAATATACGTCATTGTTAGTAAAAATTCCTTTAAGAGATTGTTGATCTCAAAGATATAGTAATTGCTTACTCCAGTTTCATCATTGTCATTACATTTATCATCACTTATCATCACTTATCATCACTTATCATGATACTTGTCAGCTTTTTTCATGCCTGCCTCACATGGATTGATTGTAATTATTTTGTAATTAATCGCTAGTATATACATTTATATAAATATATACATATATTTTTTTTTTCATTTTCATTGGTTAAGAATAATTAAATTTGTGTCTTTAAAACAATGTTTTCTTTGTGCGATTTATTTTAGTGTGTGTCAGCACACCTGTTTTATGGCTGTTTAATGTTATTTATGCTGGTTTTTGTGTGGTGTCTAAAATGGTGCTTTGTTACTGGTGCAACTGCTGATATAGAAGAGCTATTCATCTCAAATTTAAAAACAAAAATGAAATTAAAGTTTGGGATGATTGAAGATACCGACGTCCGATAATACACTTCTCAAAATAGATGTTTTAGGAGGTTGTTAGTAGTATTGTAATCTGGACTTGTTTTATGGATAGAAATGAGGGTTATGATAGGACTAGGGTTGTGGTTATGGTTAGAGATAGGGTTAGCATTGACATTAGCAAGGCATATGTGTATTTAGTTAAGTACCAGTAACCCAACACCCCTTTTTGAAGAAATTTCAGTACAAGACACTGGTGTAAAGATCCCCCCAAAGATTGATGCGACAAGTGTGTACTCAATTAGTCAATAAAATTAAAGGTTGATCCCTACAAAACTCGCCTATCTTCTTCTTCGTTCTTAATTTTAGTGATGGAAGGGATCCCCCTCCAACACAATTAAGGATTGAGGCCATTGACTCCGATTTCAGCCTGCTTTTCTTTTTGGATTTGCACCATAGACTTTGTCCAACCAAGAACAAACTACAAGGCATCAGTTGTTTGATTTTGGAGTTGTCTCTCCTAGAAGAGTGGCTGGCCCCAGCTAACGAGCCTCATCTGCCTGAGGGTTCGAACTCGAGTTTTTTCGGTTTAGCAACCTATGTTGTCTGGTACCATCAAGCATGCCTTACAAGACTGGACTTTATATTAGCAGAGTCTAGACTCTGGCCCCAATACACCTCACTCAGAGAAAAAAATAGTGTTGGGAGCTTGTAAATCTGGAGGACGACCGTCTGCAATCTTGTGTAGTTCCTCTAATATAGACACATTAAACATGAAGAAGAAGAAGAAAAGACAACACGGACAGAGGTTCCTGCTTAGATCTGCCCACAGTGTCACACAAGCACATCACTGTATAGTCTTTTACAGACATCAATTGAATTCTTTGACTTGGTTACTTTTGTGTGAGATCTGTTGAGCCATTCGGGAATTGTACAAATACGCACTCGTTTAGTTCTACTTGTAACTGTGCCAACGACAATTTGTCCACTCGTAGCTGTGACAATGACAAAATGTCTATTAACAGCGGTGTTAGAGACAAAATGTCCACTTTTAGCTGTGACAATGACAAAATGTTCACTTTTAGCTGTGTCAGGGACAAAATCTCCACGTCAGATTCTCGCCATCACCCAACTGCTAGCGCCTAATTCTCTCATTAACTTCCCCGCTAATGACCGCCGTGTCATGATATTACCAACATTAACTTAACCGGCAAACCTGACGTCATAATGACAAGGGCAGCAACCCTGTACACACCTCAGTGTCGGTCTGTCATTTAAGCCCGGTAATAACCATCCCTAATTAATGAGACTAACTGTACCGCTCAACTTGGTATACTACGTTCAACTTGGGCGTTTCCGTTTCTGTTATGCAAATTAGGTTTTATACAGCATATTGATTCAGGATATTTAGAATCTGTTTAACAAAAAAAAAAAAAAAACAACATTATTTTAGAAATATAAAAACATAAATTAAAAATCTATTTGAGGAATCGGGGCTTCAAAGTTTCTTTATTTAGAAACTACAAATCCAATTTACAAATCGTCTTGTTTTGCGAAGTCGGCTTCTATCTTCATTCATGGTAAGAAGCAATTAAAGCAAATACTAGTCTGCCTGTCGTAGCTCTAAACACACGTTTGGTAACTGCTCACCCGATACAGAGTTGCTAAAAATCGACCTACGTCCCCACCCCCCTCCCCCACTAATTTGTAACAGATCTCATAATAGACGGGTAGCTCCGGAGTCTTGAGACCCACCCGAGTCAGCAATTAGATATTTCCGTGTTTGGATAAGCGACGCTTAGTTTTTTTTAAAAATACAACTGAAATTATACCTCGGGAATAGTTTCAAAAAGGTATACTATGTTGTTAGGATGATCAATGTAAGTATAGAAGGGATGGGGTGTGTGTGTGGGGGGGGGGATCTGGTCACATGACTCCCGTAGGTTTCCATGTTCTCACCTTGAGACATTGATCCTCTGGTACGTATGTTGTTTGGTGAACGGGTTTGGTGTTGTAAGGCGGTTGGGGTGGGGGAGGGGGGTCGTTGGGACAGGGGGTGTAGCTTGTGATAAATATAGACATGATTGTATCTAGTTGTGGAGGGGAGAGAGTGTAGTTATGGGGTGTGTTGGGTGGGGGTGTATGACATGAGAAATGGGGGGGGGGGTCTTTGAGACAGGAAATGTAACAGATATAAATAGACATGTTTGTATCTAGTCAGTCGTAGAGGGGAGAGAGTGTAGTTGTGGGGTGTGTGGGGTGGGGTGTAGGGCACGGAAAGTGGGATAAACATAAAACAAGGATTGGAAGTAAGAGGTAGGTGGGGTATGAATGGGACAGGGTGAAAGCTGAAATAGTTCTCTGGCAACATGATTGTAGTGATTGCCTACTGCTGTTTTTAGCGTATGACGGATGCGATACACTGATGGTTTTTATTTATGGTAGTGGTGACCTTGAATGGATAAAACTAGTGATAAAAGATGTTTGAAGGTTGGAAAAAAACGAAACACTTTATTAGTTTATTTTTTAAATTAAAATTGTAAGAAAGATGATAGAAACTTATTAGACATGAAAACAGACAACCACAGAAAACAAACAAACAAATAAACAAACAAACAAACAAACTAACAAATAAACAAAAAACTAACAAACTAACAAACTAACAAACAAAAAAAAAACAAAGCAAAAAAAAACAAAACAAATACAAACAAACCGACAAATAAACAAACAAACGAAACAATTTTTATATCAAATGAAATAAACTGGTTTGCACTTTGGAGATTTTTATTGCTGAACTTTTTCTGGAGATTATTTGAACCCGCAGTCCGAGGGAACACACTGACGCTGTTCATCCACTCAGCCCCACAAGCCAGTATTGATTCTCGCCGCTACCTCGGTCGTTGATGGGCGAATCTTCCTGCTCCTCTTAGAAAACCACTCCCAAGAACATCTGCTTCTTCCTTTTTTTTTCTCTATAAAAATATAGCCATATCTAGGAACAGATTTTCTATTTGAACCATAAAAGTCAAGTTTGACTTTCAGATCTAACGTTACTTAGGGCAGGTGAAGTAAAGTGCATCTGTTTCCATGACCACAGCATATGAAGGGATGGTGTTGTCAGCATTATGCCCACCGCTTTTACTTTCTCTAATAAGTTTCAGGTACCTATCAGAGCTTGGTGGACGTAGTGACGTCATCTCTTCGAGATCCGAACTCGTGACATCAGAGTTAGCTCTACCACTCGACCACCCCCCCCCCCCACCCTTTATATGATATAAGCTCCGAACATGGCTTTATATGGCGTTGGTCTTAGCTGCTATTTTAACTATTAGACACGGCTTCCCGGCACGTGCACGCTAATTATAGCGATGTGGTGAGTATTTATCACAAATTACCGGTTGGGTGAATGGCGGCTCCCAGCGGAGCGGGGGATTGTGGGAGGAAACAACTGACTGACGCCCGTGACGGGGACGGAGGCCGCGCGGCCGCAATGGCCGAGGATAATGGCCGCATTGATTGGTTCGAATCCCGTCACTCGGGGAGGTAGCTCAGACCACTCAGCACATATTCGGGTCCCAGCTGTTCGTTAGTTAAATCCCTGACGTCATTAAGCTTTTTCCTGGCCCGATTGTCTACTGCTTACACTAATTAAGCGTGTTTTTATAGTCAGTTTATTTTATTTCAGTTAGGTTCTATATTATTGATTAAAATCAATGTAACTACTAACCTTGTATCATTTACAAATACTTACCGTTACTGTGTAGCCTACCAGTATGCCAGCACAGTATGACACTACGACATACATAAAATAAAATAAAAAAAATCACACATAATAAGTCTTTATCTGCCAGTTTGAAACCCCCTTAAAATAAGCCCAGCATTACCCATGCCTTTAGTTGTGTGTTCTACATCTGAAACCCTCTAGGACCGCAATGTTCTATATTTAGTCTTGATCTTTATGAATGTATACTTCATCTAAACCTATATCCATTTGAATAGCGCATACCCTATCAAAAGATATGTCCATCTAAATATGTATACTTGTCCATTTTAATCAAGAATACTTTATCAAAATGTATGCCCATTTGAACAAGTATAATTTATCTAAAAGTTAGTCCTACCCAACTATAAATAAACACTCTCATCAGAGACCAGTCAAAGTACAATGATAACTACAGAAGTTTTCAACAAAGACAAATCAATTTTTCGCGATTTTTACTGCGTTAAATAAAAGAAACAAAATTGATTCCTTGTATTTTCTTAATTACAGTTAGTCTATTCCTTCATTACATCTAAACTCTCTCAACTTTGGGGAGTTTCACAAAACGTGCTTCCATTATTTTGAATTCAAATCTTCAAAAAATAAAAATAAAAATTGCGCGTTTTTCCCTAGCGCGTAGATTGATAGCGTTTAAAAGTTGAGCGCTAAATTGGAGAGAAATAGCGGAGTCACTTTGCTAGAGAGTCGAAGAGTGTGACAGACGGGAGAGACAGAGCGTGGCAATTGTCACACTTGGAGAGAAATTAGGAAGATTGCTTAAATAGAGTTATTGTTAAGGTTAGGGTCAATTCTTCAAAGATGGAGGCAAGGTGGGCACGTGACGAAGATTATAGCGCCGCTGTTTTTTTTTTTTCGTAAATGTTTTCTTGGTGGGGAAGTTGAAGAGGGAGAAATTGGCGTTGGCGTAATGGGTGTTGTCAACTAGCTTGGTTTAATAACTGTTGGTGATGGGTTATAGGGGGGGGGGGGGTTAACGAGCTGAAGACAAGGAAGTTTGTGTGAGAGGGTGGGGGGTGGGGGGTGTGCTGATGTATATGGTATGT